GGGGGGGGGGGGGGGCGCCGGACCTTGTCCGCCTTAGATGTATGCAAAAAACAACTATTTCCATTTGATGAGAGGGCAATGAAAACAGACCTTCCAGTTTTGCCATCATTGTGTACATGTCGATTCAGCGTTTGTGCGCGGTCGGAAAGGAGAACCGTGGGAGGCGTGGTCGAGATCAAGGCCCAGCCCACGGCACACTATCCAGGATTTTCCGGGCCCGGTGGCAACATCACACGCGCAGCTTCGTAGTCTCTATGGTGGTCGAGGCGGAGGCTTTGAAAAAAAAACACGCTGAGTAACGACGGACACGAGAAATCAAGCCAGACAGGCTTGTCTGTCTGCACACGAGCCGCGGGCGAGGTGAACGACCGCCTTGGAAACGTGGGAGTATAGGGCGACCGGTGTGCGTGTGCGCATAGAGCTGCGTAACTCTGCAGCTACACCGTGGGTGGGGGGCATACTGGGTAAAAATTGTACAAGAATCAAAGCCGGAAGCAGGAAACCCACGATCTTGACCGTTTCTCAACGACAAACCTAGTCAGGAGGCCGAAATCGAAGTGCCTCCACTGCTGCCTCGCAAACCACAGCGTGCAATAGTTTCTTGTCCTTAGAGACCCATGTCAAGCGACAGAGTACCCACGATTGGAGAAAAGGCATCCAGCGACGAACCGAAACTTGCCGTTCTTCCCTTTTTTTATACGTATCGTACCTCATGGACATCTTGGCGAAGACCGTCGGCGAAGTGGCTTAAGTACTCGTACGCAGACTGTTCCACAAACTTGAGGGCTTCTTTCGCGGGACCCAGGACCGACTCCGACTTGCTGCAGGTCTCAGGGGGGGTCTAAAACGCGCGCCGGGTGGGGTCATAGAGGCGGTGTGGGATTTGAGTGGTTTGCGGGAGGAGGACATTTCGAGGAACAAAGCACAAGGCCGCCATTTTGGGCTAGCGACCCACTTCGTCCAAGATGTGTGTTGGTTCGTTTCCGGGATCGGGATTGCAGGATATCAACCTCAGGAATTCGCCGCAGGCGCAACGCGAGCTTTCCTTGGCGCTAAGGTGCTTGCCGGGCTCTCCGAAAGATGTCCAACATCAAATCGATAGCCTCATGTAGTGCAGCCAACAACAACAACCCATGCCGTGCAACGCCCCACTTGAGCAGCATCGTCATCCATGCTCGGTCAAGTGGTAAAGCACGTGTTAGATTGGATAAAAAGTGAAATCTAGAGCTTGTGAAGCAGAATCGAGCCATAACAAAATAACAGCGGCACAAAAGCATACATGTCTTAGTCATCCACACACTACTCGTCTAGAGGTGCAAAAAATCGCTTCACCGTAAACGAAGTCAAGCTGATTGGCGGACACCCACTTCCTCCCGCCAAGCTTGAAAAATCCAATGCTACGGCTCACCTTCGGCAAGCTACGAGCCCGATTGGCCCTTTGTTGAATCTTATAGTCCTTCAGGAGGGATTCATACTCGGCCTGCAGCTCCAGGTGCCTCCCCGCGAGGCTGTCGTACTTCAGGCGCTGACGCACGGTATCCGCGCTGAACTTGCTGCTCAGCAGATCGTACTTAGCCTGTTGCGCCCGACGAAACAGAGGGCACCTCGAAAACGGTTACCGAAAGCAATAGTAAAAAACAAGACTTGCCGCTCTACACTTGGACGACAACGAGCTTGCCCGGGGCTATCCCCCCTTCGTGGGAACGTGCGTGTACGGAGTTGGTCTGTACTTGTAGAAGTATACACTTGGTCACGGGTCTGCCACTCTGACGCAAACAAGTCAAGTAATGTGTCTCCTAGCCAGGGGACGCAGGAGGAACGACTACACGCAAACAGACGGTGTCCAGTTTGGGCACCGTGTGTTGCTAACCTGCCACTGACGGACGGAAAGCCTCTCCGGACCGTCGTCGTTACCGCCGTCGCCGCCGCGCGGAATCGTCCAGTAGGCCGGGAGAACAAGAAGCAGGGACAGTGCCACCGCCACAAGCACCGGGAAGAATCTCTTCTTCACCACGCGCTTCACCGACGCCAGGCCGCGCTCCTGCCACCTCCGCCACGCCGACCTGACCCACGAGCACATAGCCTCCAGGAGCCCGAGGGCCTCATGCAGCGCGACCGCTGCGTAGGCGTAGACGAACTCGAAGACCATGGCCGCGTGGGTGTAGACGAAGTTGTACGCCACGGCACCGTTAGCGTGGAGAAACTTGTACCCCGCGATGGAGTAGGCGCACAGGGCCTTGTAGACTAGGTCCAAGGCCGCCACCACAGCGCCTGCTGCTGCGGCGTCAGGGGCGGCAGCACCGACGGCGGCGGCGTCCGTTGAAGGCATGCGAGGGTTTTGGCTCTGCTGCGTCGTAGACGATGGAGGCGCGAAGGCCACGCCGGCGGAGAGACTCGCACTGCCAGAAAATTGCACGCGCAGCGGCGGTGGGGGCAAAGGTCTTGATTTGATAATGCGGCAATTCAGGTTTTGTGTAGGTTCCGCGGTTTACGTCCGCCCGTTGCTGTCGCGTTTCTGCCGACAAAGCGTACGACAGAAGATTTATACAGTCTGGTTGGCCGAGACGGGAGGGCTCGTGCACCGAACGCCACACGGCCAGTATTCTTTGTTGTAACAAATATACAACGAATTCATCTGGATAAACGAGCAGTTATGTCATACTCAGTATGTGTTAGTGACCAACCTGTGTTCCTGCCAATCTTCGAGCAGCATACAGCATTACCCCCCCATCACCGGTTGTGCTGTTGGGAGGAGCAGCTCCAAAACCGAACCAAAAACGTTTTTGAACATGTTGACTCACGGGGGAAACGCGCGGCGGGAATTGTACCCTATGTGCTACCACTACACAACCTGCGCACCGATTTATCAACCTGTTCGGGGTATGGGACCGTGCTCGCCGCAAATACCATGGGTGCTTGTATTTCTATTCACCTCCTACCTTTCGTCATATTTATCTTTTTCAAGCGATATTTTCAGGTGCCACCCCTGCAGCGTGCCAAAACTTTCATCAAGTGGCTTCACATTGGCACGCCTCGTTCAGCTCCAGTGACGAGCAGTGGAGACGCTTGGTCGACGCGAAACGGTGACAAATAACGATAGTGAAGGCCACCACCATATTGGGGTCGAAACTGCAACATCCGTGACTTGGTCGACGCGGAACGGTGACAAACAACGACGGTGAAGACCAACACCATATTGGGGTCGAAACTGCAACAGCCGCACATCTGTTGCAGTTTCGACCCCAACATGATGGCGGCCCTCACTATCGGTACTATCAGCGTTTCGTATCGACCAGGCACCTCCACTGCTCGTCATTGGAGCTGAACGAGGCGCGCCGACGCGAGCGACTTTGGTCGGGACAGTTGGTGAAGGCTACATGCCACCCCTGAACCGCCTGGCACGCAGCAGGAACCACAACGATACAACGAAGCGGGAGTGCGCCTGGCTACGGCCGGCAAAATGATTATCGTAGGTGACGTGAGATATCTCACCCCGTGGATCGATTTTCAACGCTCGATTTCTTGGCAGGAAAACAAGTGAGTATGGCGCAGGAAATGGCGGCGTTGGAGCTGTCTCGTCGATAACTTTCCGAAAATGTAACATTTTGATGCGGTATCCTCCCTCCTCGTGGTGGAACACGAACAGAGTTAGTTTATTTTTTGCTCACAAAGAACACAACAAATCCATCTCTGCCACAGAAAAGAGTCCGCGGTAGATTAGCAATGAACCCATAGTGTTGTACGGTGTGACCATTTTGTAATTCTACGGCTCGCCGAGCAGCACACAGCGAGCGATATCCCTCCTGGGCAACATGCTCGACAAGCCAGGTGTGAAATTCGGACACGCCACGCCCACGCATAATTCGCTGCTGCGCTGATACAGCCAGCTCGTTTCTCTGTTGACACAAAACAAAAATCATTTCAAAAATTGGTGTTCTCGCTTCAAGTGCGTCGCGTGCGAAATACGTAAGCTAAGCCCATCAGCAGAGGGTGGCATTGCCGTTCCCTCTGATGCGCACTGCAAAAACCTTCAGCCAAGGCCAACGCTCAGTCGCTCTCTCTTCTCACTCTCTCTCGCTCTCTCTCTCGCTCTACCTCCAGTGTCTCTCTCGCTCTACCTCCTGCCTCCCTCTACCTCTGTAGTAGTATCGCTTCCTTCGGGTACCTTTTCTACAACATAGTGTAGATGCTACATAAATATCTACATTCTGTTAATAGTCTATCCATACAATGTATAGTTTGAATGGATCTCGCCGCGGAGAAACTGTCTCCAGGTACACACATGCCTACAGAACGATACCATAGCAACATTCATCACAAAGAAATGTTGACGCACCGGGCGGCTGCTGAAGAGCCGTAATCCTAACAGCGAGCTGAACAAGCACGAAGAAAGTGAGTGAGGGGGGGGGGGGACATAT